CAAAAAATTCAAAAAAAGGTCCTTGACTTATACGTTATGAACACGTAATATACATAGTGTTATTTCAACTTCCGTAAATTTTTCTTCGCTCAACAGCAATTGCTACTTTTTGATTCCTGCGTGATTTTAGCATACTGATCTGGCCGTAAGCATATTTGATGCCTGCTTCGAGAAATTGACTGGCAGTAAGCCACAGTGAACCGGCCTTCGTCATTTTTTACAAGTAGTCCGTCATTTTTGTACTGCTTTTATCATGCGCATATTCTACCAGGGAGAACTTGACCAATTGCATTTTTGCTTCGATATTCAATAATAGCTGTGTCTTTCTGGAAAAATTGGCCACTGTCAGCCTGCACCTCAATGTTTCTGAGTTGCTTATACGCGTGGTACCCTGCTATCTTCCACAAATTCTATTGCGAACAAAGCTTCCGCTGCTCATTTTTGCTCCGGCTGTTAGTTTTTTTCAATCTTGCTCGTTTACTTAGTATGATGAGAATGTTTTAGAAAATGTGATATCTAATCGCTGACTTATCTATGTTTTAATTGAACAACACATAATCCTCCCAATTTTTGGTAATCACGAACCAAGAGCAGAATCCAGAGAGTATTGATTCTGATTGTGTCTTGTGACATTGACCATTAAGACTGTTCATTCTTTGCGGAGGAATCGTCAGGGATTGGAGAAGGAATGCCGGAAAGAGCTGAGCTTTGATAATCACAGCTTTTTTTCCTCACACTTCGCCTGAATGCACACTTTGCAGACTGCAGTTGCTAGCCAGTAACAGTGAACTCGCTAATGATCGAAAGCACCCAGGGAGCAACTTTACAAGGCGGGGGAGGGGAGGGGGGGGGGGGTCGATTTAACTTTGACGATTTGATTTTAACATTAAACCTTCAGATTTGAAGTTAACTCCAGGCACCATGGAGGTAGAGATGCATGTTCAATGTCGCTCTTTGTGTCTTTCGGTAACAATCATATCCTCTGTTGAAGGCGCCGTTCAGGCAAATGTGGATCTGGACATATGGGATTTTACGTGGAAAGTAATGGGGCCTTAAACAAAGCACTGCCCGAGCGGCGCGCAGGTGATTCACTAGCGGCTGAAATATACGCCTTAAAACTAGACCCCGGATTATTAGGTTGTTGCAAAAATAATGTCCGTTTTTATAGGCCTATATTCCAAACAACTTTTTTCATCAAACTTTCTTGTATGATATAGAATCTGCATATCATTAAGAAGCTCTCATCATGTACTTTCTAAAGGTGGTAGAACTAAGTTGCTATCCTCATCTGTGAGAATTTCACCAGCATTTTGCGCATCCGCACTCAAAATCGAAATCTCATAGCTTTCAGTTTCTTGACCACAATTCAGGAGCAAATAAACGAATTCTTCTGAAAACATAGCAATTGTATTAGATGAAGATTGTTTACCTACTGCATGCTTACGTAGATTTTTGAAGATATCTGGGAGAAACTGACGCCTCGAAATAGATACTCGCTGCTGACATTCTGTGGGTCACAAATTTCTCATAAATAAGGCAAAAGCTTCGCCCATTTCTGTAAGCTTGAGATAAGCACACCTTAACTACAATATGAAGAGAAACTTAGCTATTCAGTGCGCGAAGAATTCCAAATTCTCATAATTTGGCACTTACAAGCCTACAACAAGTAGACTCAAAAAAGTGACCATTTTTAAATTTTTACCTTTTCTTTCCGCAAAACTCCTTTTTTGGAGTTTTTTCTATACACGCGTATACTACTGGCTTGCGTCTACAATATAAGCTGATTGCCAGCCAAACGAACAAAACTTGAAGGGAGTTGTAAGCTCTTTAAGACGAGGATTTTAAAAGAAAAAGGTTTAGTTTTTTAACGCATGGTTTTCTTCCCGTTTGCGATATCAGTATAGGCAGGGGCGCGCTAAGTTAAGAAAGGTTTGATGTTTCCAATGGTCTTGACTGCATTCAAAAACATGGAGATTAAACGAAGTTATAGCCTTCCAAAGTGAAAATTTGCAAAACGGACATTATTTTTGCAACAACCCAATATTTCGCATGGATTCATGACGCAAATCATCTGATGGGTTGCGCCATAAATCCATGCAAAAAAAATCCTGGGGTCCACTTTCGAGGGAATATGTTAGCCGTTACAGCGCTACCTGAGCTGCAGCGGCTTAGTTAGGGCCCCTAAATTACTATCCACGTGAAAACATGTGTCCAGATTTGCCTGGACGCTGCTTTAAGTCGCTGTACGGAAAAACTAAGATATCAATCTAATTGAAGCTTTTCCTGAAGAAAGAAATTGGTTTATTTTCAACGCAAAAAAATACACTAGTACACCTTACAAGAGGAGGACAGAGCTGGAGGAGATCTCATAGGGCTCTAAGTTAGATACAAAATCTACTACCGTAATGCAGCCCCAGCAGCAACGCAGCAGTTTGCAACTAAGTGAATGAGGCACTGTACCATCAAAGAGTTTATGACTGAAGGACCAGCACTACGGATGACTGAGCGTCACTAGTTGAACAGACATTTTGCAACCAAGCGTTTGACCTGCCAATATGTTAGGTTGTAACGAAAGTTCGTTCGCACCAAATTTGAAAATTCGTAACTTCTAATTTTTCCAACCGATTGGACCCCTCTTCTGTATGAAAGAATAAGTCATGCTCTTTACAATGACATCTTACAAGGGAACGATCCCAACTTAAGGTGACGTTGGAATGAATTGCAAATCGTTAGATGCGTCTTGATGAGCTGATTACAAACCTACCTTTCATATCTGCGATGCCGTTCTCTGCAAAAAGTTATGAGTGGTTGAAAATGTGAAGGCAATGGAGTTTCAATGCATAATGCGCATCAAAACCCAACTTGGGAGTACATGACTATCATGATATTAGGTGTACTGTTTCAAGGAGTGCTCAAATTCAAAAGAAACACAAATAAGTATTTTTAAAAGACTAAAAAGCAAGTAAAATTCCTTGGTAAGAACTATGAGCAATGAAAAGTCCGAATTCGGCAAATATATAGCACCATATCTCGACAATTAAATGTTCAAAAACATTTATTTGTGTTTCTTTTGAATGTGAGCATTCCTTGAAATCAGTGCACTCAATATCATGCTAGTCATACACTCCCAAGTTGAATTTTGAAGCACATTGTGCATTGAAACCCCAATGACTTCACATCTTCGACCGCTCATAACTTTTTGCAGGGAACAGATAAGAAAGGTAGATTTGGAACTAGCTCATCAAGACGCTTATAATGATATGCGGTTCATTCCAATTCGCCAACTTTAAGTTGGGATCGTTTCCTTGTAAGATGCCTACTAATGATCATTTGTTGCCTAGATAGGAGCGGTAGAAAAAAAATAGTCAAAATTTGAATTTTTTGTGTAAGATCATAAAAAATTGGAAACTTGCAACAAAAATCGGAGCAGTCGGCATTATAGGTTCTATTACCTGCTCTTTCTAGCTGTGCAAAACCTGTGTTGATTGAACGCCTCTATCAGTCATGATTTACGAGAAAAATGCAAAATAAATCAAAATTGCCTTTTTGTATAGCTTGCTCGAAAATCAGAACTTTTGACAGAGACGTTTAATCAGCACAGATTTTTCACAGCTAGAAAGAGCGGGTAATAGAACCTATAATATCACTGCTCAATTTTTATTGCAAGTTCAAATATTTTATGACCCTTCGCAGAAAATTCAAATTTTGATCAATTTTCTTCTACCACTCCTACTATCTATGCAACAGATGACCATCAGTAAGCATCTAAGATGGCATCATAAAGAGCATGACTTACTCTTTCATACAAAAATAAAAGCGGTCCAAGTTGAAAAAAGCAGAAGTTATGAATTTTCAAATTTAGTGCGAACGAACTTTCGGCACAACCTAATAGTTTATCAACATCTATTCAAAATTCCAAAAATCGTGCAGCAATTATGTTATTGAAAAACCTATAGAGTCGAAATTATCTGCGTCTTGAATGAGTGATGTATCATCGCGCTTCGGTAGATAATGACAAATTTTGAAGAGATGGGAAATAACGAAAAAAAGTCTTTTGGAACAAAAACTCTGCTTAATACATAGACAAGCAAGAGCTGCACAACTTCGTTCTATCCGCAAAGCATATCAAGCATTAAGACTACTAATAGTACCGTCTCGGTAGTTGTTTCTGGTAACGCAGAAAAGAAACACTTCTTACGATTATACAATTAGCAGAGATCGCTCTGCAATAATTGAGCTAGCACTTCATGTCTATGAAGTATGTAGTAACTCAATGAGATGTAAATTATTTTGAAGTTAAGTTTCGGTTTACAATCAGAGCGGTAAAAATTTTATGAAATTTAGAAAAAAAAGGAAATTGCTAGTATGTTATGAAGTATTGATTGCGAGATACCATTGTTTGTTTCTAGAAAAAATACAAACGCTCAACTGTTTTGATTTTCATCCTTTCATCAGCTTGTGACTGTCAACCATCTGCTATTCTACGTTCAGTTCGACTTTCTGGTGCAGACCATAGAAAATTGTTTTGCAAACAATGATTGTTGTCGTAGAAAACATCGAAAAGATTTTGATTATATGAATTATCTTTGATCTTATAAAAAATTAAGGAAAACTGCATATTTGGCAACTACGTAGGGCCTTTCAAGTCCTATTCTTTCTCAAGAATATACTAAACTTGCTCTGGTGACTCAATATTGGAAATGATACTAAAAAGGTTACGACATGGAAAGAGCACGCAGCAACTTTTCCAGCATAAGAGCAGTGCGCTGAATTACATACAACAACACTACTATGAAGAGCAGTACAAGTAACCTTACCAAAAATCGGTGAAATTACAAAATCATCACAAAAGTTTTGTTTGTAATGTCCCTCACCTCGCATTTGTGCTAATATTGACGGTATCATCTGCAAAAAGTTTGCACGTGCATAGTAGATAATAGTGATCATTGATCATCGTCGGTTCAGTGGTTTAAATACCTGCAATACACGTTTACTCCACAATGGCACATCCTTACATAATTGTTTCTGTAAGTCTAATTGCTCTTGTCCGGCTTAAATAAATGAACATTTATTTAGATGGCAGTGCTTTTCCTCTGTGCGTTTGCGAAGGAAAACACAAACTGTGATGACAAATGTTCCACCAGGTTCAGTAACAGAGTGAAAGAAGAGTTGACAAGACATTTAAAAAATACCGTGGTTGGTCCTCAACTTTTTTTACCACATTTTAATCAGATGGCAATCCGAGACTGTCCAGTGCACACAAAAATCTCCATTTTAGCTGTGTACATGTTCTATGTTGGAACATGCTGACAAGTACCTTAAACGAAATCCCGATCCTGACGTCAAATACAGTGTTTCGATTCTCTATACGTCCGGTAAAACCGAAGCTGATCTCTTAACAAGAATCGCATTCAACTCCAGAGAAGTAGTGAAGGTGCCTAAATTTAGACTTCTAATAGTCTGCGAAAAAAATAGATGTGCCATGACTTACAAAAGTTGAGGCTAAAAGTATAATATGTATCTACAGCTTATACATGGTCATCCTGAAGCAGTTGTTTACTATGGATGTAGAGGGCAGCCCCGCACCATAAGTCAAGCCCAGTTTGATTCCTACTTCGCTTGCGTCTTTACGTTGGACCCTGTGAGTATGTCATTTGATGCATTGAAGCTTTGCGAAACTTTCATGTGCTACGTTTATGATGTATTAGCGTTCTTTGTTGCAATCATAGTCATGCAGGATTACGCCGGCATAAAACCGACTACGACTTCACCGCGCCCAACAGTTTCGGACGCATGGGCCAGAAACGGATAATCATCAGTGGCCGTATTCATCAACGAAAACCCAGTGGGTTCCGAAACCCAATTATGGTTTTGATGAATATCGATTCTACATCGACATTCATCAAAAGCAATAAACTGGGTTCCGGAACCCATTGGGTTTTCGTTGATGAATACGGCCACAGATTTCACGATTTTTTGAAGTGAGGAAGTTCATAGTAAATGTTGTTCACATGTTCTGAAGCATTTTCAAGAATTGCAGTGTTCCGCAAAAAGTGCCACGCCTTGCAATAACTAAAATCAAAACTTTTGCCTTCTTCTGATAGACCCAAAAATTCTGTGTATAAGATTTTTCAAATTACCCACAAAGAATTAGCCTCTATCTCTGCTGAAGGCATTTTTCTCCTCATCAATCTCATCCAGAAATTTATTATTGAAATTGCATGCAGTGGTTTTTAAGACATTTTGTTCCAGGCTCTCAAAAGATTCTTTTTTGGCAAAACAAGTGACACGGGTTTGAAAGCTTTTCGCTCTCAGATTGATTGAAAAGAATTCGTGGGTTTACTAAGCGTGTTGAAAGTAAACATTTTTTATTCAGCCGTCCGAAAGATGGATTTGTACCTTCGCAGTGTCTTCTTTTCTCTGCGAATTCCCGACACCGTTTACATTGTTTGCTTCAACCCAAGAAAATACCACAGCCGTTCAAAGCTAGCTTTCGATGATTTTTCAAAATCTCTCAAGACACTGTGATTTTTCGATCATAGCGTTGGGTTATTTTAAGCTAGATCAGCTCTAATTAGAATTGAAGTCAGGAATGATCACGTGGGACAGAAAAAAATGTGGAGAAGACGATTATCAATAAAACATGGTCGAAGTGACTAAAACATAATTTTATGCAGCCCGTTGAGCTTTATGCTGGGCACTTTTTAACAGGTGTTTGGCCTTCCAAATGGCCCGTTCTTAACCCTACTGATTTTCTCCCTGGTCTATTGGGAGTAACCTGCTTTTGCAAACCCATGTAACTTGATTTGCTACAAAGAAAAATGACGAGAACCCTCTAAATTTCTTCAAAAACCACTGCGCACATCGTAACTAATTGGAAAATTTCTTTTACTTGAGACAGAGGCGAGCATTTTGAAAACAATCTTAGAGATTCATACACAATTCTCTTTTTTATCAGAAGCTTGTAAATTTATTGAGTTCTAATAGAGTTATGGGAGTATCTTTGCTTCACAATTTGGGTGGACCACCCTGCATTCTGTAAAACATAGCAATCCTTGGTCACGCAGGATACATAGGTTACTCATTTAGATACATACGATTAGATAGCCGGTTTTTGCGTGAAGTGCT